TCATTTTTTGTGAAATTTTCTTAATACACAAATTAAATTTATTACAAGCAAAATCGTGACATTTATATATTAAGGTTACATCTATATTTATTACATTATTTAGCATAATTCGAGTGTGTAATATTTAACATCTGCATATTTCAATTATTTCCGTATTTTTATTAAACTCGTTTTTAATATATACTACTACTCCAATCCATCATTTCATTAATTTTTCAAAAATTATAATATACCTTGTACCCTTGTGTAACATAGTGTTGGTAATGTTCAAGAACTTGCGACTCAGGACACTCAGTCTTACTCGGTTTGATTTTAAGTCTCTGAATGAAGAAGGCAAACTTTTTAACAATTAGCATTAATACTTTTTATGTTAAGGTATAGTACTTTTTTTTTGTTATTTATATTTCTATTAAGAGACTCAATATCATAGAAACAAGAATCTACCGTGACTATATCCATCAGCAGGTCATCAAACATATGTTTTCATTCAAACATATTTTTATTATATCGTTTTCTAATTTTAAACTAACCAAATCTGTGCCACTTTCAATGATATTAACGTGTTTAGCTACGATAGTTTCATTATCAACCAAAACTATGTCATCAACATTTTTATCACCCAATAAAATATCTAAGTCTGCTTTTTTGTCCCATTTTCATTTTCTTTTATCCTCTGGTATTTTCATAAAAACTCTACTTATATTAATTTTCATATTTTTAAAACTAGGCTTTTTTCCATACACAATTTTTAAGGGTATCTATTTCTGTCAGCAGTATTAGTAATAATCCTATTCATTAAACAAGCTGCTGTTTTTAACTATTTCTAGCGAAAATTGATTATGCACCCTTGCTTATTTGAGTAACCATCTAGACATTTCCATGATATCCCTATTGTACTTTTTCACTATTCCATTTAATTCATGCAGTTCAAGTGAACACGGTTCAATAGAGATAACTCTCTTGCTTGTAAAATTACTTATATCTTTATTTATATATTCATTTCCATCATCACAACTTAATCTATTCATTTTTTTTCTGACTTACTTTAAATAACATTTACATAGTAAACAAAACAATTATATACCTGATCTATTGATTTAATACAATAAACTTGGGCTACCTTACTAAGATCATTAATAAAACTTGAATAATCCTTACCATTCCAACCAATAGTACTACGAGGACTATTTAAATCAGTGTGTACAACTTTTTAATAATCTTTTGCTCTTGATCTGTCATTTTTAAATGGTAAATTATGCATTTTATTTATCAAACAAAGCCTACATTTCAAAAAATCTGACTCTAATTCGGTAAGCAAACCATCTAGCATTTGATTATTGCACATTATTTTAAAATAATTATAATTGACATGGCCTAGCGCTCTATGCAATTTTTCTTTTTCTGTTGACTTCATAATTCAATAAAATACCTAAGTCTACTATTTTTCCTTTTTGAATTTCTTTTTTCCTTTAGTATTATCATAAAAAACTTACATTTTATCATCAAATTTGACTCATTTTTTATAATTTCACTTGTCATATAATAAATATCATTATTTGTATTAGCTAAAGCAACTAAATTTTTATTTAGATTAAGAATTTTTGACACGTTGCCTAACGAAGCAATTCCATTACCTTTAGTTACTCTTCCATAACTTGTTAGATTTCTATCCATCTCTTTCACGTAAGAAACATTTTTTGTAGTATTAACTATACTTTATTCATAAGCATTAAATTTTTGTTTCATATTACCAACTTTATTTGCTTTTAAAAAACCACCATCACCTAAGGTAAAGTACCCTGTATTCGGACAAAAGTGTTGTTCGGACCTATATCCGGACAGCAGCGATAATTACATAATTTTTTTACAATTTCTGAATGAAAAAATTTATTTGTAATCTACAGTATCGAATTGATTTAGGATAGTTACAACATACGTCGAATTAATTTGATAATTTATTAAAAGAAATGTTTTTTCTTGCAAATCGAGGTTTTTTGTGTTTGGCTCCTGTCCGAAAATTAGATACTACGGTTCAAACTGTACCCCTTATTCGGACACATAATCCAGCAATTCACTTGCTTACAAGTGCAAAGAAATGGTTATACTATGTAGTAAAATACAATAATAATTTGTTTTTTGCATTTGTTTAACAAATTAAAGCCATTAAAGGAAAATATAACTGTATGTAAAGATCTGCCATAACCTCATTTTCTCAATGTTCACGACCTTCCGGATTATGGTCCCTACATCGTAACGGGACCTATATTCGGACTATTAAGAAATGCATTGTCCGATTATAGGGGTTTTGAAACTGAATCTTTATAATTATTTTAAACAATGATCACACGGTCACAAAGAACTTTTTTTTTTTTCAGTGACAGAAAAATTACTTTATTATCTATATGTCAACCGTCTTTTTCGCAAAAACAGCTAATTTCTTTGTGAATTTAGAAATAGTGGATTACCTAAAATTATGTGTCCGAATAGAGGGTACTTTACCTTACCTAAAAAAAAAAGAAAAAAAAATCTCTTTTAATTCAATAGATTTATAAAAATATTGATTATCATTTACAACATGATATAAGCAACTACTATCGAGTAACCATTCCACCCTACTAGCACAGCTGTTTACTTTCACACACGACTGATTAGGTCTTTCCTCGAACCCCGCATGCAAAATCTCACATTACCGTCTTTATTTTAATGTCCTTAAATATTCTGATGCCAACCGCCTCCTCGACAATGTCGTCTAGAGCCTCTACCAGCTCCACGACCTTAGCCTTGGCTGCCACACGTGCCGCCTCGATACTGCCACTGCTGTTGTTGCTATTGTTGGCGCCCGTTTCGTTGCTGCTGCGTATCACCTCGCTCCCATAAATTAAGTATCACTTTGTTTCATTTTCGTAAATTGTGCCTTGAAGTGTCCATACTTTCCGCACTTGAAACATGCTCCACGTTTTTTTATTTTAGATTTGAACGCACTTGAACTATTTTTGCTTCTATCTTCCTTTTCTTTTAATTTAAACATTTTCATTTTACTTTTCACGTATTCAACTGTTTGATCAAATTCTTTTGACATATCGATTAAATTATCAATACAATTTAATAAACTTGGTAGCATTTTTATCATGAAGCTTAATTTTTTTTTTTTTAGTTACATTAGTACAAGCACTTTTTAATTCATTTATTAATACATCAAATGCAGTAAAAAATTTAGTTGAATTTTCAGTCTTGTAACTTTAATTTTTCCAACTCATTTCTTACACGAATTTGCAGTACAGTAGACTACTTAAATTTTTATAAATGACTATATAAATGACAATATAAATTTCATCGAATTTCTTCATTATTTGGTACGCCGTTTCTTTGTCTTTCACAAACAATAACTGATCATTTAAAATCCCACTATATATTACATTAATCGCCTTTAAGTCCTTTTCGATCCAGTCTTCTTCTTTATCCATCCTTGTCATGGATTCCGTTGCTACTACGTCACCTTTCTTCAGTTTTGAAATCATCATGCTTCTCCTTTTTCAACACTCATAATCTTTTCCATCAAACACCGGAAATTTTACTTCATCTACCATTTTGGCTTCTTTTATGAACTTTTCTTCGTCTTAAAAATAAATTTTTGCAATATGAGAATATCAACAAGAACTCTTTTAAAACTTTTCTTGCTCCTTTTAATGGTGGATTTTCACGTTTAAATTTTTTAGTCTTTTTTATGAGCGTACTAATAAACAAAGTTCACGTCCCCGAAAGAATACGTAAACATTTGAAAATAAGAAACTTACTATGCTACCATGTTAAATATATTGACTACGAGGTAGTAGATCCATAATGTTACGTTAAGTAACACTTTAATAAATATACTTTATAACAAAAATAAGGATAATTTGAGATAACAAAATCTCCTCTAATGATGCCGAGAGAAACTCCACGAGAGCGTGCGTACAACGGCCATCCTCCATTTCTTTTACTGATTCACTAACACAAAGTACATATACATACCTTTCTGCACTTATAGTATTTATGCCGCATAGTGTATGTCAATAGTTACATAAACAACATAAATTTGCTTATATTCTAACAGTGGCGCTACAAGAGCTGGCATAGTGGTCCTAAAAGTGGGGTGGGGCAGATAAGGTAGAGCAACGCATGGCAGGGCAAAAGGAAAGTAAGATGAAAAATTAACTTTCGTTACTTTTTTTCTGAAGGTCAGGAATGTAAAATAGCTTACTGTGCAGCGCAGAAGAAAAAAGAAATTAAAAAATCCTTGACAAAGTAATAAAATCAATTATCACAATAATATAGCGGCATTGGTGGTAGTACTGATAGAAAAAGAGGAAACCAAATAAAAATAAGTTGTTTTCGAAAATAATTGCATTATGTCTCTATGTATATACATAAAAAACTAGCGGCCCCCTGTCTCGGCTTCGCCCGAGACTTACTAAATGGAACACCGTCGTGTGTTTACATGTAATGTAAAACGTTTTCAGTTAGAAACTTTACATATATTCCTGATACTTCTCAGTTAATTACAAACAATCTAACCGCCTCATTTCTGAAATGATCTTGATCTCCACCAGCCGTGTCTGGCTCGGTTGAGCATGAAGCAGCTTGGTCATCAGCGTTGGGGGGGGGGGTTTGTGGGTAAGAGGCAGAGTTGGCGAATGAGGCGAACGTATTTACCGGTGCTGGTTCGAACGAGGGTGGCTCTGACGAGTTCGTTACACTCGGGGTGGACCTAGATAATTCGGATGAGCAGCCACAACCCACTGGACTGGAGAAGGGTGGGATCCAATACGGCGATGACGTCGTTGATCTGGAAATTTCGACGTTGGACCTTCCATTTGGGCCGCTGTTGGAGTGTGTTTAGGTACTCGCAGCTCCAGCGGTTTTAAAATTGTACAAGCTCCAAATGCGTGAAGCGATCCGAGATTTTGAGCCGAAGAGTTGACGCCGATGACAGAGTCTAGAGATCCGTTGACTAGGAAATGTCAAGGGGTGAGAACGTCCAAAACGTTCGGGCCTCCTGTCAACGGCGTGAGCAGACGGCTGTTGAGCACGGCTTCAATGCTGGTTAGGACAGTGTAAAACTCCTCGTAAGCGAGATTACGAGGTCCGATGGTGCGGTGGAAATGACTTTTCATGGCCTTGAAGCCAGCCTCCCAAAGTCCATCGAAGTGTGGGGCTCTCGGGGGGATGAATCTCCAAGACACCCCTTGATTAGCCAACGACCCAGCGATACGATCCCAGCGCAATTCAGCATCTTGGATGGCTTCACAAAGCTTGCGATCGGCAGCACGGGAGCAGGTGGCGTTATCGCTCTAGATCTCGGTTGTTCGGCCTCAACGTGCACAAAATCTGGTAAGCGCTCCAAAAAACGTGTCGGTTGATAGATCGCTCACGAGCTCGAGATTAATTGCCTCCGAGGTCATGCAGACAAACACGGCTGCGTAGCCATTGCTAGCGCGGATACCTTGCCCTATGGCCAACAATATGCTGAAGGGTCTGGCATACTCCACACCAGTGCGTAGGAATGCACGAGTGGGAGTAATTCGAGCAGCAGGCAGTGGTGCCATATGTTGAGTAGCTGGCTTCACCTGGAAGCGAGTGCAGATGAGGCACTTTTTCAAAAAGCTCTTGATTCGGCGCCACCCGCATACGATACAGGCTTTATGGGCAACAAATGCGCTGGTCAGTCGAGCTCCTCCATGCAAAGCTCAAACATGGGCCCAGAGTATCACCAGCTTAGCGAAAGGGCATCGGCCGTCCAGAATCGGCGGATGTCGTTCGTCGAAGCAAAGCGTAGAGTGCTAAAGTCAGCCACCCACCCGGAGCACATCGTCAGGGATAATCGGATCGAGGGTTAGCAGTGGTTTCTTGGCTGCAACACGGTCTTCTGTTTGTAGACTTTCGATTTCCATAGAGAAAAACTCGGACGCAGGCCAGATAGGTGTCACATAATTTGGTGGCCGTTAGTCCTGCGAGGACTGGTTGAGTGGCATCGCGCTGAAGCTTAAGTCGAACCCATCGACGCAATCGCACGAGAAAGCGCAGCAGGCGATCAAGGTCTGGGAATCGCTTAAAGATGTGGGCCCCGTCGAGCTGAGTGGCACCACATAGGTGATAAGATACATCGATAAGGTGGTGATCCAAGTCAGTGGTATTTGGGGTTCCGATCGGCCACAACGCTGGCGTAGACATTAACCATGTGAGACCCTTCCACCATAGACGCTAGCGTTGAAATGAGGAAAGATCAGTTTCTTGAAACGCCACATCCGCAGGATTGAAGTCTATGGGGATGTGTCTCCAGATATGCGAGGGCAACAACTCCTGAATGTGCACCATTTAGTTGTCCACCAGCGGGTTATTGGTGGGCTCGGAGGAGCGGATACAATGAAGCACTATCTGTGTGTCACTCCAAGCATGGCAGTGCTCCTCGCTGACACTATACTCCTTAGCAGCTGTGACGAAGAGTCCGGCGGCCAACAAGGCAGCGCGTAGTTCCAGCCAAGGTATCGTCATCTGTGTGGGTCGTTAGGTACTCGGCTGCAAGTTCTTGATCGAAGCTAGCTTTGTTCTGGATAATAAAATGCGCACAGAAACCCCGCGGACTGGGTCATCGACTTGTGAGTACACAACCGCTGCTATTGTTCGGCGAGTGACATCTGCGAACGCGTGTAGCTGCAGCATAGTTGTAGAGTGGCTGCTGATTCAGTAGGGGATGGTCAAGCCAGAGACGTCCTGCAGTTGAGTGGAGAAGTTCTGCCATCGTTGAGCTAGGGAGGTTGGCCCACTTTCATCCCAGTCTAGTTTCGCTCGCCAGAGATCTTGGATGATCATCTTTGCAACGAGAACTATGAATGCAATCGATTCACAAGGATCAAAAAGGCTGGCAAGGGCGGCTAGCGTGGAGTGCTTGGTATGTTGAGATCGCATGGGAGGTGGGGTCAGGTGGAAACAGTCGCTGAGTGGATTCCAGCTGACCCCAAGGTCGCTGACAAACCCGTCCACACTGAGCTGTCGCCAGGTTGGCCTGAGTTTAAAATCCTCTGGAATATCGCGCGGTAGGTCAGGTTTGTTGAGCACCCATTTTTTCAGTGGAAAAAGTCCAGCATTCATAAATCCGATTAACTGATCTTGGCAAAGCCGGACTGTCTCGACGTCATCGGCGCCAGAGAGGATGTCGTCGACATACCGATCGTTATTGATGATGGGCACAACCTCGGGCCAAGAGTTTCCTTCCTCCTCGCACAGCTACAGAATCTTCCGCAATGCCAGGTACGGAGCGCTCGTTTCGCTATAGGTCACGGTGAGCAACTGGAAATGCTTTGGTGGGCTAGAGTCGTCAGCGCTCCAAAGGATTCGCTGGAGGTTTACGTCTCGTTCGCCGACGCGAATCTGGCGAAATATCACCTGTACGTCCGCGCAGAAAGCGACTCGGTGCCTTCTCCAACGCAGGAGGACGCTGGGCAGACAAGTGTGAAGTTTCGGTTCGCTGTGCAGAGCGTCGTTGAGGCTGTAGCCCATCAGGGTTGGCCACGAGGAGTTGAAGACGCCGCGCAGTCTTTTCCACAAATCGCTAGTCTGCCAGATCCCATGGTGCAGAATGTAGTGCACGGTGTCCGTCTCTACTAGCAACTCCTAATCTCTTAACTGCCGCATGTTTCCATGACTGATGTACTCTGTCATGAAGAGGGCATACTCGACAGCCATGTCTGGAACGCTCTGCAGCCGTCGATGCAACGAACAGAGGGACGCTGTCGCGCTGGTCAAGCTGTCTCCCAACAATTAACCTTCGTTGCGTTTTAGAGGGAGTTGAACGATATAGCGCCCGTCATCAGCTCGCTGATGTTCTGCGAAGATCTTCTCACAGTCCACGTCATTTGGTGACTGGCAGACTGATCGTGGCACGTCCTCTAGTTCCCAGAAGTGTTGCATCGGGGCTATCAGCTGATCATGCCATAGTAGATGATCGTTTTCCTGCGTCGAGAGGCTCACACCAGTTGTCGATGAGTTGGTGTGGCACTGGACTTGACCCGTCACGGTCTATTCAGCAACCGTACGCTGACCAATGAGTTTTCCTCTCGTGATGAGCCCTGACCGGATCAGATGAGGATAAGTATTGGCACCGAAGAGAATGTTATCCTTATCCGGGATTCCGAAGTTCGGGTCTGCCAAGTCAGGAAGATCCTGCCACAGCTCCAGTGAAGTCGATGATGCTCGAACCTTGAGGTAAACAGACTCCATGTCATGGTGTAGTTAGAGCCAACGAGTTGCAATGTGTCCAACACTGCCTTCGCTTCGCTGTGTACATTCAATTTTAGGTAACTGAGTCGCTCGACGTCAGTCAGTCGTGCGTCCTGGTGGATGAGAGCATAAAAGAGGTCTCTGAAGGTCTCTGAAGGTCAATCTTCGCGCCAAGCTAAGAAAGGCTGGATAGTGATGCTTGGTAAGCGAGGGCCCATGTGTTTCGATTGCGCACTACCTCCTGGAGCTGGTGGAGGAGAGGGGACAAGTCTAAGTTTAGCATCGAATAGGTGTGACTTGGCCTCCAGGTAACTACCGTCACCATAGCTATACAGGTGTTTTATTGCTACCCTCTTGTCCTCGGGGGCGTTCCGATTCAAACCTTGATGATTTTCCACAAATTCGCTCCAGTAGTTGCTGAATAGCTCGATTCTGGCTTCAACGCACCCTAGGCTCCAGGCCTCAACACCCCTGACCGCGCGCTTGGTCGAACTTACCTATGACCTCCAACAAGCTCTGTTGAGTCGTCAGCAAATCAGCCCAGTCACTGTCCTCCCTGAAAGAACATATTGTTGTGAGCTTGACGCTCGTCAACCAAGTGGAGTTTTGTCGCAAGCAAAGCACCCGGTCATGCTGTGTCATAGCTACGACAGTCGCGTGACATACGTTGGCACGGGCAACCTGATTGTCACTGACTTAGTGGGAGATAACGGTCTCGCCACCAAGCCACCTGTGATCTGCAATGCGGTGCAGATTCCCTTAGATGTAAGGTAACAGACACGCTCACGGCGCTGAACAGACTGCACAGCAGGTTCTGTCAAGGTCGTCGCGACCCTTGACGTTCTCATAATCTCGCTGCTGAATGTCGCAAATTGATCGTGGTAAGCATCAAGTGCGTTCAAGGCTCCAACGTCTCGATGCCTTCTCGGAGGCAGAGATGTTTCGCTCTTCGCATGTTTACTTACATGGCTCGAGACTGCGAGCGATCCTGGATGTTCCGGGTTGACTGAGACTGCTGTTGGCGTCATGGTTGCCTCTTATCCAGCTCAAAGGACCAAATTCGTTCACTTTACTATTATTTATTGATCAGTTAAGTTGAATACAAAAGGGTATGCGATACAGAACGAAACGTAACCAACACACACAATCTAATTGCACACAGACGCAAACACACACACACCTATGTATAAATAAACACACGTTTCCCGGTTCTGGTCTGTAGCACCCCTCGTCTATGGCCAAAGGCGCGAATTACAAACGTATATGTTCATTATGTTTTGTTAGTATAGCTAAATTTCGTTAGAAATGTTCTATAAGACTTTACAAATATTTTTAATTGTGGATAAGTTTGTATTTATTCTAGTAACTAGAAATATAAATACCCTGAAATTTCGACTGTAGATTCATGTAGTATTATTTTACCATAGGTTTTAACCTGAATGCAATGGCACAGCTTTGAAAATGGTGATGGAACTCTTTAACAGATCAAACGATGAAAAATAACAAAAAATGAAAAAGTATTTGTGTATATTTTTAGATGTTTTGGATTGTTCTTATATTTTTTTTTTCAAACATAATCAATTTTCTTTCTAAACAAGATTTTTATCTTAGAAAATTAGTATACCATATAATAAAATACAAAAAATTTTTATAATAATGTGCTAATATATTTTTTTTGTCTATGTATGCAAGATATTTCCTTTTTTTACGTATCCTTTCGTGAAAAAATTTCTTCCTAAAATCTTGGGTGTTATTTCTGTCATTACAAACTGCTGTTATCTGTTTATTTGTACGTTTATAACAATTATTTCTAAAACCGCTTATGATAATGAATTTTTATCAATCTAACGTAATTTCTCTCAAGTTAAATTTATATCTATCTATTTTATTCAACGTTTTAAGTAGAACAATATGAAGTAACATGACAAGTGGATAAATAGTAACAAAGCAAAAAAAAATGCATAATTAATTTTAATCAATGTTAGTTGCATAAGAACTACACATACCTACACATACACACAAAGTTTGATTAATTTTTCTTACCCTAGTATATTTTTATTATTACCGGTAATTTATTATTATTACCGCTTGAATATAACACCGATTGAGAGGAAATATGAGATATGTATTTGGCACACGATACTAATTGAAACAGACATTGTGAGTCAGCGTGAACTTTGTATAGCTGCCCCCTGCGTCAGTTCTTTCCAATCTGTTTGAGATCACAAATGAGCTAGAAGTCAAGGCTTGTTATTTTGTTTTATATCAGATTGTTGTAGTTTGTTTATAGTTTGCTTATAATAGCTAAACATTGTGAAAAATTGTTGAAAGGCAGTTAAAATACTGTTTACTAAATAAATCTCATGAGTTGGATTATAAGGAAACTTAGAATTTCATTCACGCAATCTTAAATACGCATGCATCTGACAAAAATAACACACAATTTTTTTAAGTCGATATCCAGATAACAAAAGAAACTTTAAATTAATACAGTCATCCAGCATCGCCTAAAATGCACAACGTAGGGGAAGACTTGCTATTCATTGTGTGTAATAATTTGAAACAGCGCCACCTAAATGACAAGAAAAGGCGATGCTAGGTAACACAAATACAAAGCCTTTTATGGGCTGCAAACTTTGTTAATTCTTTCTTGTAATTTTAACTTATATTTGATACTTAGAGTATGGATTTTTAGTGTTAAAATTTTTTATTATTTGTGTTAAACAAAAAACGATTTTTTGTTACATTATTTGTTTATTTATATTTTTAACTTTAATCTTATAGTTATCTGTTTAAAACAAATTCTTGACACTGAAAATCGATACTTTGTGTATCGAAAATGCATAAAAAATATAAAAAACAATTAGCAAAGTTTACAACCTATAACAGGCTATATATAGTATTATCCAGCATCGCCTCTTATTGCCGTGCAGTTGGCGCTGTTTTGGATTACTGCACAAAGCGAATACATTTCTTGTGTATGTGTTTAAAAAGTATGTTGTGAGAGTATTGTTATTGCTATTACAATTGATTTAAAAAAATATTTATTTCATTTTTTTACATCATTAAGGACATCGCTCCAAACAATGTTTTCTATTTCCTTAAAATTGTCGAATTCATTTAAGATAAACTTTTTTTTAGAATTTTTTATTTAGATCATGCAGCATACAATTTACTGTAGGAAAATAAAACATACAGAATTTACAACCATAAAAATAATACAAACATAATTTATCTCAATTTTGTCTTTGCGACTTTTTATAGTGATAGTAAAATTTAACGGTTAGGGAAATTATTTTTCCTATTTTGGTCGTTTTTTTAAACATTTGAACGTTTAGTGCGCCCTCAGTAGAAATCATATAGTTCGCACCTAGTGCGCATCCAACCGAGGCAAGCACAAGGAGTCTTTCGGGCTTTGCTTTGCAGGTCTCTTGGGCCGAGTGATTGCACTGGCGATAATGCGCCATCAAGTACAAACATTACTATTCTGTATAAATTAAAAGGTGTTATAGAATAAGTTTCTGCATTCAAAATTATTTTTAGACTGAATACTTTGTTCCCACTTTTTTTACATATAACAGTTATAATTTATACACATTTAATTTTTTACATATATATTTATAGTTATAATTTTAGGGTCCATATTGTACTTAGATAATTTTTTTATTCTGAGTCTTGTTTTACAATACATTTCCTCTGATATTTAAAAATTTCAAATAAATATTATAACGGCATGTATTTTATAATTGAGTTCATGAGGTTAAAGCCTCTGTTGAAGGTAATCTAGTGCATCTATATTTGTATTTCACAATATTTACTTCAATTATTGCGGTATGACCTAAACACTATATTTTATTGATACGACGAATTTTGGTTGGGGGAATAGGATATCACTGCATTCCATTTAAGACATCACTTTCACGTATAGAATTAGACTATATTACAAATTCAAATATCGTGTTGCTTATTTAAATATAAACGGTCATAGAATGAGGAACTCTTTTGCAGCCTACAACTTTCAGCATTTATTAGTTTTGCAAACTTTTATGTGATATTGTTCTTCATCATTTTCAGAAATGCATGAAGGGGCTCCAGACATCAAGTCTCGTCCTTCCATTGTTTTTGGAAAAGCCATAACTTCTTTGATATTGGATGCATTACAAAGTATAGAAATATACCTATCCAAACCTTAAAATAAGATTTTATTTATAATATTACTATCAACGTGCAAGATATTATTTTAAGAGTACAGTACCCGTTTTACCTAAAGCAATACCACCGTGAGGAGGAGCACCACTACCTAGAGCTTCCAAGAAATATGATAATTTCGAAGAATCAATTTTCAACAGTTTTAAAATTGTTTCTTGGAGTTCTTTTTGATGAATACGTACAGATCCACCACCGATTTCAGATCCATTCAAAACTAAATCGTATTGTAATCCTCTAACCTTTATAGAGTAATTAATGAAAAATCAATATGCAAAATATATACAGACTAAACAGCAAAATACCTTTTGAGGATCTGTACACAACTTGTTGATATCTTCAGGATGAGGTTGAGTGAAAGGATGATGAGTTGTCTCTAAAACCTTACAATCACTTTCAGTAAACAATGGAAAATCATAAATCCACACGAATTCGTAGCTGGAAGATCTAATATGCATTCCTTTTGATTCTAAAATATTTATTAATTCGACTCGTATTTTTCCTAAAAGCTGTCTCTGAAAAAAGTAATATGGAATTTTATTATGAGTTTGGTCTGTAATTGCAATAATATATATGTGTATGTAAGGGATAAATGTAGAGTCAGAAATTTAAACTTTGCTCCGAAAAAATGATATGTAGATTTTAATCAGCTTTAAAATTGGCGCAATATACCAATAGTCGACTTATGCAAATTTCGACAGTTATTTCGTAAAATGTCTTGCATGAAACAGTGACATGGTAAATTCACAGTATGCTCACGGAAAATATCCCGACAATTAATTGTGAGTTACATTGTGGTTTTACCATATTTTTGCAATTGTTATCTTTGTACCAGTGTCAGTTATGAGGTATTATAACATAAATTCAGCTAAAGCGCTAATCCTATAGTACCAAAACGCTACGAGAAACTTTAAGAAGCAGACGAAGTCTCAGCATGCACGCTGTAGTCAATTGCACGGCGAAAAAAAAAATGATTTAATCTTTTTTTTTTCAGTAGAGAAAAAAATTAGTCATCCCCCTACAGAATTTTCTCAAGATTATGGAAAAAATAGTTTTGTCAAAATCAAAAGTCGGCTTTATTTATTTGTTTAACAACGTATAAAAAAAATGCCAATTTTTTAATTAACTTTTTGCTTACATCTCCGCTTTCATTGCCCTCAGAGAAATTTTTCAACGACCAATCTTTTCGCTATAAAATTTCCTACAAAATAGACATTTTTGCAAGTACAACATTTATTGGAAAGGATAACTCCCTCGCAACTTCTACTTGTTCGTTTTTTGATAACTTCAACATTATTTAAGGTTTACATCAACAATAAAACGCTTCTATTTGTACCTCACTTTTGCGACTAGGTGGCCGACCGATTGCGGTGCGCATAAGAAAAAACACGGACTACGACTGGCGTTTGACTTTAAATAAGTTGTTGTACAAAATTATAGTTACAAACATAGTATTTAACGTTAAACATGCTTAATTAACAATTTTTTACTTAGCATATCTTCATTTGGTTGCAGGAAAAAAATTGATACACTTACAAGAGAGATTTTCATTCTTCTAATGTAGTTGGCATTTAAAAGTAGAATTGGCATTTTATTTTTCTCATACATTTTCTTCAAAAACTTTTCTTTATTGCATTTAAAAAGAGTTGTAAATAGCTGAACTTGCACAGAAATGTGTGAATACTGTTTAGAAAAATTGCTTCAATATCGAGCACGTTGACGTTACGATTGATAAAAAAGACTGCGTATAAGACGATTTATTGGAAACATCTTTAACCCCGGACAAAATACCAGAAATAATGGATGACGAAGCTGATACCAATGTAACGCAAAATTTTGTAGACAGACGACAGTTATTTCAAAAGTAAATCATTAAAAAAGCAAAATTTTAATGTATCTAGAAATTCTAAAATTAAATGTATCTAAAAATTTGAACAAATACATTTTTCTTATTACAAATACTTTTTGTATTTAATTTGGTAATTAAACATGTTTAATTTTTTATACGATGTTCGTAACAGTACAATTATGTTAGACTTATTGAAATCGAAACGCCAACCGTAGCCCGTGTTTTGACCCATGCGCAGTGCAACTAGTTAGTCAACTAGTCACAAGAGAGGGATACAGACGGGAGAGCTGAGCTATCTCGGCTGTTACAATGTGACATTCTTGATTTTTTTAAACATTTCTTTCAATGAAATTAATAAAGTGCTCCGGCAGTGTTATGCAGAAATACATGAATATGAAACAGAAATTTTATTGTAATGAAAAAATTAACCATCCGTCCGTTATTGAAAAAAATGCCAATTTCTCGTACCTTGGCTTCAAAGTAAGCTAGAGCATTTATTTCTTTTAAAATTTTTTTTTTTTTTTTTTTTTTTTTTTTTATGAGAAACGCAATGACGTTTATTGAAAAAAGAAGTATGCAAAATTAAATAAGATATTTACAATTGTTTGAGTTACAAAATACAATTTTTGGCGATAAAACTTTAGAGTACACAAAAATAATTTTTTTTCATTTATTATTATTACTAACATCAAATACAATGATCTTACCAAAGCGAAATGTCGATAAACTGACCGTGAAGTTTGTAATAATACTTCAAAGTTTTACTTTAAAAATTTAACTTTCCAAAAACTAACAATTATCTTTCGATTTTACGAATAGCTATTTGTTGTGCATTGAAATATCTTTATTTTCTTATGGTTATGTTCAAATTAACATGATAGTTTTTTTTCAGTCAACTGAAAATTTTTTGGTATAAAAAACTCATGCTTGTACTCTCTTGCCATCAACATATTATCAACAATAAATAATGGATTTGCAAAAGTATGTAATTCATAGAAAATCTTATAACAAAGAGATTGGCGGTCGAAAAATTTTTCTAAGAGCAATAGAAGTGGATGTATAAGCAAAAAACTAAATAAATAATTGGCATTTTTTCCTAAATTCTTAAATAAATAAGTGAAACCGACTTTTGACTTAGACAAAACTATTATTCCTGTATTTCTGGGGAAAATTTGTAAGAGAACGACGAGTTTGGTCTCTATTGGAAAACATAAAACTAATATTTATGTCAATACAACAGCTCATATGTGCAAGGAAATTGTTAGCATAACAAAAATGATGTGTGCACCCTTAAATGCTTGAATGGAGATTTTTTAATCGTTTCCTATGATTCTCGGAGTGATCTTACTATGAAGTTATCTACGGGTGAAATTTCACTTGTAAATGTTTGAAATACGAGTGTTTTTTAAATTATCAGTTCTGTCAACAGTGTGAGATGTTGATTACAGATATTTTCTGAGTTGATATCATGCAGCGTAGCTGAAAAAGATTTCTGCTTGACGGCAACTTCAAACGTATCAAAGTATCGAAGGGACGCCAAGGTTCGGATTCTCGACCACCAAGGCGGAATATGAACAACGGATCAGATACAAAAGACCCCGGCACCCGGAAAGCCATATCCCCCTCGCAGGAATCATAACCGCGCTGCTATAAGTGTAAGTGCACTTAGGCCACTATGCTCGGGATTGTCCTTATAAAAGTCAAGGAAATGAAAGGGGACAGACGTAAGCGAGGGTATTACGCCACCTCTCTCTCCCAAACCCTTACAGGCCACGGTTGCATCGGAAGACATGCGTCAATTATGGCTGCAGCTTGAAATAACCGGGTACAAACTGCGAGCACTTTACGACCCTGCCGCTACTTGCACTGTCATGCGAGCAGTGAGGCTCCAGATAGCCAACGCCAGCGGGTGATAATTATGTCCCGGGAAACGTCCCAGTAGTGGCCGATGGACGACCGTCATGCACTCTAGGCTTTGCCACCCTACCTTTCGAGCTAGAAAGAATAAATCGAGACGTAGACGTCATCGTACTGTCCAAATTAGACACTTATTATAACGTTGGCGCTAACATTATCAACGCTTTTAAGACCGTGCATGATCGTGTCGATAGAGTTATGGTGCTAAAAGGACAAGGGACCAAGGTTCCTCTGGAGATAGCAGGCTTGTCAGCGACGGGCGAGATTCGACTCGCTGCCATAGGGTTGACAAAATCTCGTGCGAGCAACAAGAAGAGTTGCAGACACTTCTGGACCGCTACGTGAAGCGTGAGGCTTCCCTAGGGTGCACTATGTGGGTCGAGCACGAGATCGAGGTTACGACCTTGCGACCTATCAAGCAGAAGAACTACCCCATACGTGGCAAGATCCCGAAGGTTATACACACCCATGTAAGTGAGATGCTTGAGAGCGGCGTGATCCAGGCATCCGATCGTGGCTGGGCAAGCCCCGTAGTCATGATATGCAAGCAGGATGGCAAGTTCCGATTTTGCATTAACTACTGGAAGATAAACGCTATAACAGTGCCCCGTGCGTATCCATTGCCACATATGGATACCATCCTGCACAAGCTTAGGAGGGCGCGTTTTAATTTAATTCTCGATCTCAGCAGCACTAGTGTGGGAACCTCCTGCTGCAGATCCCTGGTACAAAGGGATGGTACAGAAGGTACGGGACGACCCACGGGGACACCCGCGATAGAAAATCGTCGGGAGATACCTATACACGTATCGCCCCGATTCTACGGTCGACGAGACTCTTGGTGACACCAGAGCCTGTAAGCTGTTGGTACCTTAAAACCAGTCCGATCAAGTACTTCAGGAGTGTCATGACACACTATCTACCAGCCATCTTGGCCACGAGAAGACATTCGCGCACGTGTTTCGGCTATACCACTGGCCAGGATAATACCAGGACGTTGTCCGATACGTATGGAGCTACTTGGTTTGCCAACAAACCAAGGTAGACCAGAGGTTACCCCCAAGAGTCATGGGGCGTAGGATCATTACCACTCCATGGTAAATAGTGGCAACGGACATAATGGGTTCCCTACAGAAGACGACGCACAGCCACGAATACATCCTCGTGATGAGACCGTGACCTGTTAACTAGGTGGGTTGAAGTCATGCCGTTACAGCGAGCTAATGGAAAAGCTATAGTAAGTGCGCTGAGGGAACGTGCCACATGCCACCATGGAACCCCGGAAGTGCTGCTGACAGATAACGGTACCGAATTCCGAATCAAAGACGTTGATGAGCTCTTAGAGAGCCTGGGTATGTGTCACACGCTGAAGCCGCCGTATTATCCGCAGGCAAATCTGGTCAAACGCTTCAACCGCACCATCAATACCATGATTTAAGCTTTCGTCGAAACCAATCATAGGTCATGGAACGAGAAGCTGCACGAGCTTGTTTGCCTATAACATGGAAAGTAATGCTCCCACAGATTTTTTCCCCACGATGCTTAACAGCGATAGGGAACCTGATGCCCCAGGTACGAAGCACTGACAGGTCGATTCGACAGCCCAGCAACACCTAGAGAAAGAGGCACTAGAAAGTCGGAGGCAACTCATGGAACGTTTGCCGATGCTGCGCGCAGAAGCAGCCCAGCAAAACGATAAGACACAGGCCAATGTCACCCGGCATTACAATGTCAAGCACCATGACGTGG